CCCCCCCCCCCCCTCTCTTCTTGCCCTCCTTCAACCCCTCCGGTGCCACACCATCATGTAGCCAGGATCTTATCAGGAGGCTTCTTCACGTAGCAGGGAGAACTACCCTCTTTCCGACGGGAAACTGGGGTGGGGGGGGTGAACAGCGTTCCCCGCTCATTAGCATGTAAACTATAAATGTCAGTGCGTGTGAGACGCAACCGGAGCGTGGGGGTGGAGGGGATGGGGTGCTAGGTTTACCTCGGCCGAGCGGTCACATACGTGTCATTTTAAACGGCAGGGCCCCCGCGAGCGCATCTGGGAGGCAGCGCGTGACGCAGCGCAGTGTTGCTACACACCCGGAGCTGTGTTTGGAAACACTGAGGCAGCTTGCTACTACGGCGGGGGCCAATGGGAGCCACTGAACCATGCTCTGTTTAGCCCAGCCAAGCGCACAGACAGAGGGAGAGGATGGAGGAGCAGAGCGGTGGTGGCGTGGGGGGGGCAGCGATGCAGAGATCCAGGAAATGCCTGAGCGAGAGGCTGCGACAGCGGGGGCACATCAGCTCACTCACACACAGCCTCATCAGGCCACACATTGATCACCCTCCCATGATATATCCCTCCCCGCCCCCCTCCTCCTTTAGCAGCGCCGCCGCTTAGAGAGCTAGTCGTTATTTATGAAATATTGAAATAACAAATGGCCTCTCTGGGCAGATATTAAGAAGAGAGATGCCACAGATAAGTCAGAGGCGAGCGTCAGCCGCGTCGCCCCTCCCCACACCCCGCACCCCCACCAGCGGGCTGCCTGCCCAGTCGCCTGGCTGCAGAAAAGCTGCAGTCATCACAAAGTGGAAATATTTACAGCGCTCGTTCTTGCATAAGGCAGGATGGAGTGTGGAAGAGAGCGGCTGAAAAATGACTGTGTTTGTGTTTGGAGGTTGGGGGAGGGGGGCTAATCAGATTCCTTCAGCTTCAGAGGCATTTAAGGACAACTCAGGCAAAGGTCTACTGTGTTGCAGCAGCAGAGGACAAGATTCAAATCATACGTTTCACATTAGAGGATTTTCACTGAAACCTGCTAGAAACCTGAAGCAGCATTCAGTTTTTATTCTCCTCTAATATGGAGGAAACTTCCAGAAAACTACAAAGCTGCTGAAACACTGAGTTCCTTTAAATCAAGGGTAAAAACCCACCTGTTCACAGCTGCCTTCAGTTCATAATAACTTGAACATTGACAAACATATCTGATGTGTATTTACTTGATGATTTTGATGATGGCGTTTGACTAACTGTTATGTTTATGCACGTGCCATAATTAGTTACAATGTTGTGTTTTTATGATGTAAAGCTCTTTGAACTGCCTTGTTGCTGAAATGTGCCATACAAATGGACTTGACTTGACTGTCAGCCAGTCATTAGACGATTAGGGGCCTTTGTTGAGTAACTCTGTGTGTGTTTGTGTTTGCAGAACACTCTGGAGACCTGCAACATCTGCAGTAAGCCGATCATGGAGCGCATCCTGCGGGCGACGGGCAAGGCCTACCACCCTCACTGCTTCACCTGCGTGGTGTGTCACCGCAGCCTGGACGGGATCCCCTTCACCGTGGACGCCTCCAACCACATCCACTGCATCGAGGACTTCCACAAGTACGCAGCCCGACTGGTCCCAGTGCAGCATTCATTCCTCTTAGCAGTGTGTCCACACAGCTTTAAGCCATCTTAAACTCATGAATCCACAATTAACACCTTCAAATGTCTTAAATTAATAAAAAAAATAAATAAAATTGCCTCAAATATGCTAATCACAGGTCTCAAATTTTGCTGTTGCAGGGTTATTCAAATTAAATTTATTTATTTTTTCCGTGGGACTTTTCTGAGTAGTTACGTCAGGAGACTGCGTAGGCATTTCCAAAGGAAAGTATTTCACAAAGACCTGATTAGATGAGGAAAATGAAGCGTAACATGATTGGATGAGCATGTCATTGTAGGCGTTTGTCGAGGACTGCACCTGATTGGACAAAATTAATGTCTGTCATTTGACTTTTCTTTTTCTAAATTTCGCTAATTTACTTCTCTGGCATCAGGCTTTGATTAGTTTATTTAGTTTCACAAGCTTTCTGTTGTTACTGAGTGTTTCAGATACAGCAGACTGTGTTGGCCCGCCTGACATCAGCTAATTCCTCATAACAATTGCTTCCGCCTATCTTAAGACAGAGCTTCCAGTTACATTTCAAAATAAGAGCATCGACATAAAGCAAACTGTTTCGATAACAAAAAGTAGTGATTTTTCAGAGATGTTTGTAACTGTGGAGGTCTAATTGGTGACATTTTGCCATTATGTTAAAGAACAAAATCCATTTTGATTCATGAAATAATGTGAAAGTAGTTCAAATATAAATAATAAATAAGTAAATAATAAAATGGTCTCTTGTGGCAACCAGTCAGCTATTTTTGACGATCATTTCAATAATCGATTCATCCTGATTAATGCGATTAATCATTTCAGCTCAAGTAAAATCCCAAAGCAATTCTTTGAAGTTTGTTGGTATAAAGTAACAAAATGCAGAAGGAATATTGGTGCTTGTAGGGAATCACCTGTGATTTTGTTTAAAACTGTTGCTTCTGAATCTGGGACTTTTTCTCTCTCTCAATCGTTCATGACCTGAAAGCCTGACCGGCTCCACGCAGCTCCGTCTGCTGGACGTTCCAAACACTGCCAGAGTATCTGGATCGTTTCCTCATCAACATTTAAACACAGAAACCCATCGTAACGCTTCAACACGTCGCTCGCCGTGGTGCCGTCCGTACCGGTAATGCAGGATCTCCGACTTCCTTGAAGGGAATTACGGTCAACGTTTTGAGAAAGCCATGTGATCCTTAGATGTGGACATGAATTTAATGGCGCGTTCCTGTCACTGTATCAGACATCAGGGAATTGCGTAAACAGCATTTTTACCAGAAATGTTTTTCTCCTCAGTGACCAGAAGGGAAACCGCTGGCTTTCAGTCTGCGTGTGTGTGTGTGCATGTGCCTGTGTGTGTGTGCGCACACATTGTGGCACTCTGTGTATTTTCACATCGTGCGTATGACCTCATCAGCCGGGCCTTTGTTTCGAGGAATTTTGGAGCCTCGGCCCGTGCTGATGCTGCACGGCCGTGGTTCCCCCACAGCCACACCAGAAGCCTTCACTTCCTGACAGATACTGAATGACAGCCTGGAATAGAGGAAGCGTTCGCCTCACTTCTGGTCACTGAACGGGACCTACATTTTCAGCCAGTTTCTTTTTTTTTTTTCAGATCCTCATTACTATTGTTAGAAAAACTTCTTCTCCGCAAGGCATTTCCAGAGTTACCCTTGTGAAGTTTTGTTCTGTAAATGGGGCTCTGAATGTTTGCTATGCACAGTCGGTAAACGGAGCAACTTTTTTTAAAGCTACAGAGTGAAAAGCACCTGCTGCACCGTCTGATATGTGGGAATTTTTCCACATTGTTTCATTGTTGGTGAACAATAAATTACGCGGCGTTTCAAGAGAAAAGGAAACAAATGTATGCTAATGTACAAGGATTTGTCCTTTATGAATCCTGTAAAGTAATAGTAAAGCAAAGGAGAAAAAGAATCTGTTTAATCTGAATTCTACTGATTTCCACTTTTTTTTTTTTTTTTTACATTTTCTCACAAAACAACCCCAAAGCTGTGTGTATTTTTATTTAAATTTTCCACAGCACACAACACAAAGTAGTGCAGAATTTTTCCTAATTGTTTCTAATAAATTGTTTCTTTTGTATTCACCCAAGGTCAATCCTTTGTCCCCACTGTAATTACAACAGCAAGTCTCTTTAAAATACATGTGAGCTTTGACTAGGCCACTCTAGCACATTAATAAGCTTTGATTTAAACTAGTGGTGGAACTCTACTAAAAAATTCATTAAGTTAATTGCAGGGTCTGCAGTTAATCAAAATTAAAACTACATCTCAACAAAATAAACGTTTTCAATTCAAAACCCATTTTGCTGTAAATGGGTTTTGTTGCTAAGAGCTCAACAACAAAAATATTTCTTTTTAATCTGTTATTTAGGTTATTCCGCCATCAGGTTGGCAAAGACCTTCCCAGCATCAGCTTTGAGGACGTCTTTGTCGATGCAACATGTTTAGCATTGAGGCGATGTTTTAAACCAGAATGGCTTCGCTGATAGTTTAACTTTTTTTTTAGCACAACTTGCACACAACAATAGTCTTTTCCATTGTCCCAACAGATAGTTTTTTTTTGTTTGTTTTTTTTTTGTTTTTTTTTTTGAAGCAAAAATGAACCTCCAGTGGGCCGAGAGAAGCGGCTTCATCCTCTGTTGGTTGTACATCAGATTGACAGGCGTATCAGAAACACACAAGTACAAAGGTTCCTGCTTGGGAATTTTATACACAAAAAAATTTATAAATAAACAAATAAAAGTAATTAAATAACTTTAAAAAAAAAGCACTTCAAAATTTATGTAATTAGTTGAAATTGACATGTTAATTTAAACCATTTCTTTGTAGCTCTGACTGCACAGGTGCATCTGAATAAATTAGAAAACTATCGAGAAGTTAATTAATTTCAGCGACTCGATTCACTGAGTGAATCCCATTATTTAGATCAGCTACACAAAGACTGATGTTTTTAAGGCTTTATTTCAGTTAATTGTTACTTTTTTTTTTTTTTGCTTACATCGAATGAAATGTGACATTTAAGATCAGAATATTACATCAGACCATCAAAGTTGGATTATATTTCGGGGGCATAAAACAGAGTTTTATTTGAATCAGATTCTCAAGCCCCACACATCACCTCCCTTCATGTTCACAGTCATTCACTACTTTGTGTTGATCTGTTGAGTAAAATCCCATTAAGACACTTTTTAGTTTGTGGTTTTAACATGACAAAGTTCAAGAGGTGTGAATCACAGAGTTTCAGTTCTTGCTTTATCATCATCATCATCATCATCATCATGTGCTGCTGTTCTGAGCTCCTCTCCTCTGTTTCTCACAGGAAGTTTGCTCCGCGCTGCTGTGTGTGCCATGAGCCCATAATGCCGGCGCCGGGCCAGGAGGAGACCGTCCGCATCGTGGCCCTGGATCGTGACTTCCACGTGAAGTGCTACCGCTGCGAGGTACACATCCTTCCCCGTGTGTGTGTGTGTCTGTGTGTGTGTTTTTCTTTGCCAGGTATCCGCAGCGTGACGCCGTCAGCCTGAACTCGCAAGCTCGTCCCTGAGTCACCCTTTTCAAGGAGAGACGAGTGAATCATCGCTCTCTTTCCAGCTCCGAAATAACTTTTGCTCTCTCCCGGGCGACGTTCACGAACTCACACAGTAACCAGTCTGTCAGAAGCCCGTGTGATTAGCCGATAAGTGCCGCCGAGACAATGTGTGCCCGGCTGAAGGAGACGGGAGTTCATCACGTTGTCAGAGAGCCGCGCTGGTGCGAGCGCGCGGCGCTGCTGGCAGATGGAAAGGTCAGAGGAAAGCAAGGCAGATTAGTTCAGCTGAAGAGGCTCAACAAGAGAAGAAGTTTGTCACCAGGGAGCCAGGAGAGGATGGAGGAGACTGCAGGAAGGAGGGAGCCAGAGGTCGACTGCAGGCTTTAGTCGCAGACAGTAGGGATGTTCATGACAACTCTATCCTTCTACTTCCTCAACAAAATGAAACTAAAAAATTAGGGTTTTTCTTAAGCAAATAGGAAACAGTTTCCCCATGGAAGTGATGCGATATATTATTGATTTTAGTAGCTGACTTCAAAAGAAATATTGTGTAGATTCAGTACACACAGACGTATAGTTCAGGTTTTGGGTTTTCATTTACTGTAATAAAGTCTGTGTATAATGAATCTGTATCAATGCAAAGATTCACTTCTTTGCATTGAATTACTGAAAAGAAAATGAAGTTGTCATGTTCTAATTCTAGAGGAAGCATCAGAGCCGGCCCCAGGCATACTGGAGCTCAGGTCCCCAAACTAAAAACTAATTCAGATTTTTCTCCGCTCCTCGGTGGGGAACCTGCATTACGTCTGTCCTCGACACGCCTGAACCAATTTGAATTTGAAAATGTTGAAACTGAAAAGTCTGATGTTACTCAGCAAAATGAGATTCTTTTCAAATGATGTTCGATGCAACTTCTGACCCTGCTGACCTTCTGGTCGGCCTCCTTTACCACTCGGCCGAGCCATTTCCAACCGAGTGAGTGAAGATATCTGGAGAGCTGGAAAGGTTTTATTCACAGCAGGAAATGATGTGCTTTATCATAAATGTAGCTGCAGCCGTCGTTTTGTGTGCACCTATGCAGACGTTCTTCTAGGACTCTTATAGGGGTGTCTGTTGTCTTTTTGTTATTAGAAAAGGTCAGCTGAGGTAAATCTGGAAGCCTCCTTCCAGTCCTGCTGCTCCGATGTTCTCCGGCGCGATCAGAGACGGCAGAAGTTGCTCTGCACTCTGACATAAACAGACAAGGATAAGACGTGATTCATTATGCTGTCATAACATAGCTAGGTCTTTTCAGGAAACGCTTTTTTTCTTCTTTTTTCTTCCCCCTCATAATGTTGTCAAGAAACGGCGGAAAAGGCCAAGGTGCTGCAACAGTGACTAACAAAAAAAGGCAAATTGAAAATCCAATCTGTAAACGCTGCAAGGCTGCAGAGAGATTGAACAGACTGACAAGTTGGTGCACTCTTTAAACGTTGCTTACGCTGTAAAAATGAATCACGATAACAAGCATGCGTCAGGTTTCTGGTTCTGAGTATGTATAGGTTTGTGAGGTGAAAAATTGGAGTGTGGAGAAGCATTTTTTTCACTGACTTAAACTGTCACATTTAAGTCAGATTTAATAACTAGATTAACACCATTAATTCTAGTTGCTCAGTGCTGGAATCAGGATCGAGAAGTTTTAAATCTTAACTCCCTTTTGCCTTTAAACTGTTGGTCAAACATTTTCAGTGTCCTCACAAGTTTACTGGAATCTATGTTAAATATTAATTATGTATTTTCCAGCCACATAGTGACATTCTTTAGCTCAATCAAAGAATGTCACTTTGACATTCTTTGGTATGTCAGTTGGTAACTTAGTTACCAACTGATGGTAACTAAGTTACCATCAGTTGTTGTTTTCTGAATGTATATCAAACATTGACTTCACATCACAACACATATCTGACGCCTTGAAACTGGCCTCTGTCTCTTTAAGAACCACCTCACACTCCGCCTCAGGACAAAGTGTGGTCTGAAAAAAGTGTAGCTTATTATACCTGCTATGCATAAAACATCATCAAAATCAAAAGCAGCAGAATCTTTCTAAAACGTATGTAGGAACATCAACTAAGTTTGTAGACAAACACATAAAAGAAAACAAACCCTATTTGTTATAATCTGCTTAGCAGATTTTTTTCTATACATTTTTCTTTTTTATTTAAAAAGTGAGAAACACAGCGTTAGCTCCCACAACAATTATTCCACACCTAAATTCCTCTAAATGAAGTACAATTGTTTTTGATAATTGTCCTAACCTTTGGGTTTGTTTTTTGTTTAATAATTCGTAGTTGATATTATCGTGTATTGCAATAACGTCTGGGACAATTTATCGTCCAACAAAATTGATCATTCCGCCAGGCCTATTGGTTTCTATAATGAGCTCGGCAGAAGCCCAATTTGGTGTTTGATGTTTAGTTGTTGCTGCCGTCTGGATGAGCTCAGCTGAGGACATAAGGTCCAGGGCGGAGCTCCGGGTAGATAGGCGGCGCTTTGTGAAAGCAAGTGTTTAGGCTCACCCTGAATGGTGGCAAAACACTTCCTGGAGTTCGAGTCATCTTCTTAACAGTGAGCGTGTGTCTTGCAGGACTGCGGCTGTCTGCTGTCTGAGGGGGACAACCAGGGCTGCTACCCTCTGGATGGACACGTCCTCTGCAAAAACTGTAACACCAGCCGCATCCAGGCGCTGACCGCCAAGGCCACCACTGATCTCTGAGCAGCCAGCCCAGCCAGCCGCCCCGCTCAGCTCCACTGTGATTACCCAGCAAGCGCTCTCTTCCTTCTTCCTTTCATTCCCAAATACCCATCCATCGAAGCTACACACACACACACACACACACACACACTCTCACACACACACCTGTATATGCCTCTGTATTTATGTTCACCTTAAGATACAAGAAACAGCATCATGTGTTCACCTTCGACACGTAGCACCGACGCGGTACAACCACTGCAGGGAAGCTTTGTGCTATTGAGCTCCGCTTTAGAGCCAGCTTCTAGTTACAGGAAGTGAGCTGCTGCCTTTCATATTCACGCCCAACCTATCAGGTATCCATCAGAAAATAATACATCACCCAGTGTTATTATAAGTCACCATCTATATGGGCTTCGTTTAAGTCGGGCTGCATGAGTTATTGTTGTTGTTCATCAACCCAAATGCTTTTCCGTCAGACTCTTAGGATCCAGTCTGCCTCACATGTTTGTCAGACCCACCCAGCAGGTCAGGTCATGGTTGGACATGTTTGTGTGTGTGTGTGTGTCTAAACGCTGGCCTTTTTTTTTCTTTTTCTTTTTTTTCTCTTCCCCCCAAAGTGTTTCTAAAATGTAGAGCAGAAACACCAAACACCAAACGGGGTAAAAACGGCATGGCGACAAGCCGAATCCAACCCCGCCGCCGCATGAACCGACACCAAAGACCCGGCGTTGAACCTCAGCGCTTCCTGTTTCCTTGGTTTGATATGCAAGTACGCTAAATGTTGTTTACTCTCAGTACAAACAATCAGTTCCTCTGTCGGGAGGAAAACGTTTGGTGCCTTTATGACCCATTATTTTCCGACTCTCTGCTGTATTCAGTAGATTACCTACAAGTGGCCTAAACGGTAAAATCATCCCACTTCTCTTCAGATGGATGAAACCTTTTATATATATACGAGTGTAGTATCGCCCCCTTTATTTTAAGAGTTTTAAGAGATAAAAATGAATACACTCCTATGCAATTTTTAACATTAAGTGCATCGACACTTTAGAAAAATGAAATGATGAATAAGGAAATATTTTACGTGTACATATTGGAATTTAAGTGTCCTTATAGCAAACCCTTAGGCCCACGCTGATGTCGGTACGCTGTGCTGTATGTCGGTATTTGCGCTCAGCTTTTATATGTAGTGTTAGTTTAAAGTTGTTGGGAGAATAAGGGACCAAGAAAGATTTCCTGAAAAGTTTTTTTTTTTAAATCACCATCTTTAATGTGCCAGATGAACAATCAGTTTCTTCTTTCTCTTCAGTCTAATTGCTCCAGTTGGACTTGTGAATATTTATGACGGGGAGTTGAAGGTACCGTGTGAAGTTTGAAACAGTTTTATTTTGCTGGCTGACTCTGGTGTCCTGAAGGGGGAAAAGCTCCGCCCACAAAAGGTGGTGAAACATTTTAAATTTGGATGATCGGGTTTGCCGATAAATGATCGTAAATCAACAATTAAAGAATCGACTCTGATGATTATCACTAGAGCGTCCGATGGACGGCCGACTGGAAAACTTCACAAGGAACCTTCAAGCAGCAAACACCGGGGAAATTAAAGACCTATAAAAGCCATTTTCTGATTTAATTCTGGAAAAACATCTTAACTATAGTATTTTCTCTCCTTATTATTTCTTTCACCTATTATATGTTCTTATGACAACAAAAAACATCTCTCTGCAGTGCATATGGCGTTACTGTAGATGTGATTAGGCCGTGGCGATATTGTTACCATCGGAACACTTTGGAAATAACTATGCTAATGAGACTTTTGCCTAACTCTCAAGTTCTGTCTTGATTTGGCTTTTCCTTAAAAAATAAAAAAACAATACCTAAAAAAACAGCCCAAACTCAGAAATTGACATGTGAGGCACTTCGATGTCGGGGTGAGGAGGTGGCAGGTTGGTGGACAGAACGAAGCGCCTCAAGCAGGAAGGAAGCGAAGGCCGCTCCTCCGAAAGGTTAGGCAACCTGAACCGGAGTCCTCAGGGAGTTCTACGTCAATATTAGGGCCCTTTCTTTCTTTTTTTATGACAACCAAGTTCTTTGTCACGTAGAGAAACCAAACACACTGCGACATTTGGTTTATACGTCTCCATGTTGCAGAACTTTGACACACAGACGACTAAAATCTCCATTTATTTTAAACCAAACTGCAGGTATTCTTAGAGCGGGTGCTTCTCTTGGAGAACAAACACATCTTTACTTCAGACAGATCCATAAAAAACTAATTTTGCACACAGTTTTTTTTTAATTATTATTCTATAAGTTTATTAATGTTCTATTGGAGCAAGAATTAGCCAGCACATACCTTTAATTTACACAACCCCCCCCCCCACCAAAAGATTAAATGGATAGTTTAAATGTTTTTTTACGTATGGTTCTGTGAAGTTATCAAAAATATTTGCTTTATTTGTGGTAGATGAATGTAACATGTTGGTGAGTTTGTAGAAAAGTGAAGAAATCATTATAGCAGTGGAAGGCTAACAGCTAGCTAAGTGGCTAGCTCTTAGCTAAAACTGCGTGTGAGATTAACAATAGTTGGTTCTTAAGGGTTGTCTGGGGCTTTTTGTAAGCCGGCCAACATCCGTGTTGCTACGTTAGATGAAACAGCCGACTGTGACAATCTGCCTGGTCAGCTGGGGCACAACAATCTGCCCTGAGGTCGCTAAGAGAGCAGCTAGCTCTGTTTGTACAACAGTATTTACTGATCGTACATTCCTGTGCTTTCCCCAGGTCTCCTAGCTGATAGGTGGACTAACGATCAGGCGCATTGATACAGCTGTCATCCTCCAACATAACTTAACATGTAACAACAACGGTTTGTTGGAATGGCAACAATATTCAAAAATATGGTGCTGCAGGATCCATCAAAGTCCATTTTCCTCTTTTTTGTTTCTTTTTTAGATAGTTTTTCCCCAAAACAAATGTGTTTATGTCCTTAATATATATTTTATTGTATTTTTTATTAATTAAAATGATCTACTTTCCCTGATTAAATTCTCTTTTTTTAAGTGACTTGTTTTAAATGGCTGAAGCCAACTAAATTAACATTTTCTACAAACTCCATCAAGTGACATTTCAACTAGAGGCAAGAAAATTATTACTAATAATCTGACAGAACATTCCTTCTAAAATATGAACTACCCCTTTAAAATGAAGAAAAGTTTTCTGCTCTTCAGTGTGAACTAAATCATGCCTGCATGTCGGCGTCGGCTTTATGAGCAGGTTATCTACAAAGTGTCCCCATGTTTTATATGTTCTCACTTCCTTCAAGCATTATATAGTTTACAGTGTGACACGAGACCTCTGAAAGAGACGATGTAAAGATTGGTGGTCTGTTCTTATTCTTCTGTTGTCGCCTGTAAAAGTGCCTTTTATCAGAGCAGCATCAGATCACGGTACCGTTCGTCTGATCCAGCCGTGCCTCAAAGATTTGGCCTCGTTTACTTGTTTTCTAGCCAAAGTAAATACAGTTTTTTTTCTAGTTTTGGACGCTTTGGGCCGCAAGCAGATGATTTTTTTTATTATTATTATTATTTTTTTGTGTTGATCAGAATAAATTCTTCCAGCCTGTTGTCAGACCAAAGTGTCTGGTCTGAATCTGCAGACAGGGGCCCATCATCTAGTCCTGTATTCCTTTTTCTTCTTTAATAAAAGCTTTGCAAAAGCATCGTGGCTCCTTGTTTCTTTTTAGTTTTCCCTCTAGCGTTCTTAATTATCCTGAAAAAAAATGTATGCTTGGTTCTTTTTTTGGTTTTGTTTTAATGTTTTTTTTTTCTGATCCGTGTCCAGCAGGCTCCGCCCGCCCTCCCCTGCCGCTTGTTAACACTTGTCCTTTTGACCCCCAGACCGTCGGATCGGGCCGGTTAATGAGCAGATTTTCACTGTCTGCTCGTCGTGTTCCTCTGGATTCTGCCTGTGACCTCCTGTTCAGGCGTCCTGCAGACTAAAGAGGCTTTTTTTTTTTTTTGTTTTTTTTGAGCAAGAGAGTACAAAATAAAACTGCTTCACATCTTTCAAGTCACGAAAAAAGCCCTCCATTGGTACACACTCTCTCACACTTTGTGTTGAATATCTGAATGAACTCATCTGAGAGAAATCCCACAACTTTCATCTGTTACGATGCTTTAATTACTATACATATATATATATATATATATATATATATATATATAAAATGCAGTCTCCTTCTTTTCTAGTAGAGAAGTAGCCGACACAATCAGGAAATGCACTCAGCGATAAAGCATGCACACTGCTTAGATCAGCATGATGGAGTTGTTAGAATAATTTAAAGACCCATTTTTTATTTTTTTTTTCTTGCTGTTGCCTCTTCAGGAGCTGCTTTATTTAATCCCCTTCATTTGTCATCTTTACTCGCAGCGTTTCATTTCCTCCTGCAGACAGAGGCGGCGATCAGAACCGTAAGGACGGGGGGCCGAACACCGGGAGCCGCGGCGGGGTCATCTGGGGGCCAACGGGGGAATATGAGATTAAAATCCAGCGTCGTTTATCTCCAGCTGACCTGCTGCTCACTTTAAATACAGCGGTTACATCACAGAGCTGTCTGTGTTGACCTCTATCTGTGCTAGAAATCTGAACCAAAAAAAAAATTTTTTTAATTATGTCAAAGATAAATAAAAAAAAATAGAAAATGAATAAAAATGTGTCCTGGCTGTGCACTTTTTCTAATCTTAGTTGTTTTAAATATCTAAAACCATCTAAATTCCAATTTTCTATAAACGCAGTTTTGACATTTCTAGTTTGGGATATTACTAATGGCTACAGTAATATTTTTTCAGTAACAGTAATGCTGTTTTCCTTTCCAAAAATCTGAACGTAAAGTAAACAAATTTTCTGCTTTTAAGTGTGAACTGGAGAATGTTGACCTATTTCTCTGCTAGGAATCTAAAAAAAATGTTTTTCTTAAAAAATGTGTCCTGGTTATGTACTTTAAAAAAAAATCTGAGTTGTTTTAAATACCTAAAATCAGCTAAAGTCCACATTAATACAAAGTGAGCTTTGACATTTCTACTGTAGCTACATCTACAGCCAAAAATCTGAACGATCCCTTTAAAAAAACGTAGTTTTCTGCTTTTATGCATGAACTAAATGTTCCTCTGACACAAACAGGGGAGTGTTGATCTCTTTCTCTGCTAGGAATCTGTAAAATTTCCTGGTGATGTTTTTTATTTTTTTCCTGAACATACTGGAGGATATAATCTGAGCATCCCAGAGAGAGAGAAAAGAAAGAGAGGGAGAGATGCGCCTCCAGCGGATGAGCCGCTGACTTGCTTTACTGCACATAAATCTGCTGTTTA